CTCAGTGTTGGTGATGGAAGAAGTGAAGCTGGGTGTATCGGGTGAAGTGGTCTTGGTGGTGGTGATTGAAGAACTGAAGCTGGGAGTACTGTGTGAGGTCGTCACAGTGGTGGTGATTAAAGAAGTGAAGCTGACAGTACTTTGTGAAGTGGTCTTGGTGGTGGTGATTGAAGAAGTGAAGGTGGGAGTACTGTGTAAGGTGGTCTCACTGGTGGTGATTGAAGTGAGGCCAGGAGTAATGTGTGAGGTTGCCTCGGTGGTGGTGACCACAGAAGTGAGGCCAGGAGTACTGTGTGATGTGGTCTCAGTAGTGGTGATTGAAGAAGTGAAGCTGGGAGTACTGTGTGAGGTGGTCTCGGTGGTGGTGATCAAAGAAGTGAAGCTTGGAGTACTGTGTGAGGTGGTCTCAGTGGTGATGATCGAAGACGTGAAGCTGGGAATACTGTGGGATGTGATCTCAGTGGTGGTGATTGAAGAAGTGAAGCTGGGAGTAGTGTGGGATGTGGTCTCAGTGGTGGCGATCAAAGAAGTGAAGCTGGGAGTACTGTTTGAGTTGGTCTCGGTGGTGGTGATCGAAGAAGTGAAGCTGGGAGTACTGTGTGAGGTGGTCTCAATGGTAGTGATTGAAGAAGTGAAGCTGGGAGTACTGTGGGATGTGGTCTCGGTGGTGGTGATCAAAGAAGTGTATCTGGGTGTACTGTGTGAGGTAGTCTCGGTGGTGGTGATTGAAGAAGTGAAGCTGGGAGTACTGTATGAGGTGGTCTCGGTGGTGGTGATCGAAGAAGTGAAGCTGGGAGTATTGTGTGAGGTGGTCTCGGTGGTGGTGATCAAAGAAGTGTAGCTAGGTGTACTGTGTGAGGTAGTCTCAGTGGTGGTTATTGAAGAAGTGAAGCTGGGAGTACTGTGTGAAGGGGTCTCTGTGGTGGTGATTGAAGAAGTGAAGCTGGGAATACTGTGTGAGGGGCTCTCACTGGTGATGATTGAAGAAGTGAAGTTGGGAGTACTGTGTGATGTGGTCTCCATGATAGTGATTGAAGAAGTGAAGCTAGGAGTACTGTGTGAGGGGGTCTCAGTGGTCGTGATTGGAGAAGTGAAGCTGGGAGTACGGTGTGAGGTGGTCTCGGTGGTTGTGATTAAAGAAGTGAAGCTAGGAGTACTGTGTGAGGTGGTCTTGGTGGTCGTGGTTACCAAGTTTGTTGTAGGAACTGTGGCTGTTACTGTGGTTGGAAGAGACAAAGAGGTGGGTCGGAGAGAGGTCACAGTGGACAATGTACCGGTCATACTGGTGGAATAGGTGGTTCTGACCGTGGAATCTGTGAGAGCACTAGTAAGAGAAGTAGGGTAGGTGGTCTCAGACGCAGGTGTAGAACTGGTGTCGTAATTGGATAATGTGGTCACCAAGGAAGACAAAGGGGTGGTGTTTGTGGTACCAGTGGTGATCGCTTCTGTACTTGGGACAGGCATAGAAGATGAAATGCTACTGGTGAATGATGGTAACGTATTAGTGGCTGTGGGCAGAGGGTTGGTAGTTGTCATAGATGTCACTGTATATGTGGAGGTGATTGAAGAAGTCTTGAGGAGAGTAGAACTCACTGCTGTTTTGAAAGATCCTGTGGAAATGTCAAGGGTAGGAGTCACTGTGGTGGTCTCAGGGGATGTGGCTGTTGAACTGGTCAATGTAGTCTGACCTGTGCGTGTAGTTGCTACAGTGGATGAAGATGTTTCCATCGTTGTAAAGGTTGTGAATGAGGTGTTGGTTGTGGGTGATGGGGTGGATCCAGCTGTTGTGTGGAGTATACTGGTGATGGATGGAGGTGAGGAGATACTCTCGGTGTGAGTGGTCCCTGTACTGCTGGCAGACATGGAAGAGGAAAATGAATATGTTGCTGGGAAGCTCGTCAGGAGGGAAGTTGTCTGAGTGCCCTCAGTACTTGTGAGAGTTGGTCTCTCGCTGGAAGTGGTGGCAGAGGTCATGCTGACAAGGGATGAGGTTTCTGTATTCTGGATGTTGGGGGAAGATGGGATGTCACTTGTGGACACTGCTGAGGTACTGGAAACAGCAAATGTTGAGGAGAGGACTGTTGTTGTAGTCAAGGATTCAGTAGAGCTCACAGAAGAGTGGGTGATAGTTCTGAGTGTTGTCAAAGGGATGTCTGTACTCAGAGAAGATGGGGTCATGGTTGTGGAAGTCACCATGGTACCTGAGGTAGGCGAAGCTGAGGAGATGGCAGTTGTGGTTGTACTGCTTGTGGAGTAGATGGTTGAAGAAGTGAAGCTGGGAACACTGTGGGAGGTGGTTTCAGGAGTGGTGGTTACCAAGCTTGTGATAGGAGTCGTGGCAGTTTCTACGTTTAGGAGAGAGGAAGAGGTGGGCGGGAGAGAAGTCTCAGGGAACAATGTACCTGTCATACTTGTGGGGTAGCTGATGTCGGTCGTGGAGTCTGTGGCTGTGCTAGTGGGAGAAGTAGTGTAGGTGGTCTCAGATGTAGGTCTAGACCTGATGATGGTAGTAGCGAGTGTGGTCACCAAGGTGGATAGAGGGGTGGTGTTGGTGTTATGACTGGTGATTGTTTCTGTGCTCAGGACAGGTGTAGAAGATAAAATGCTACTGGTGAGTGATGATAACGTATTACTGGCTGTGGGCCAGGAAGTCGTTCTTGCCATAGAAGTCACTGTATTGGTGGGAGTGACTGAAGAAGTGATGGGAGGAGTAGAAGTCATGGCTGTTGTGAGAGATTCTGTGGACATGTCAGTTGTAGGAGTCAGTGTGGTGGTCTCAGGGAATGTGGCTGTAGAGCTGGGGAAGGTGGTCTGACCTGTGCCTATAGTTCCTACAGTGGTTAAAGGTGGTTCCATCGTTGTCGAGGTGGTGAATGAGGTGGTGGCAGCGGGTGACAGGGTGGATTCAGCTGTTGTGTGGAGTGTACTGGTGCTGGCTGGAGGTGAAGAAATAGTCTCTGTGTGAGTGGTCCCAGCACTGCTGGCAGACATGGAAGAGGAAAATGAATATGTACTTGAGAAGGTCGTCAGGAGAGAACTTGTCGGAGTGCTCTCAGTACTTGTGAGAGTTGGTCTCTCACTGGGAGTGGTGGCAGAGGTCATGCTGACAACGGATGAGGTTTCTGTATTCTGGATGCTGGGGGAAGATGGAATGACACTTGTGGACATTGCTGAGGAACTGGAAACAGTGAATGTCGATGTGAGGTCTGTTCCTGTAGTCAGGAAGCCAGTAGAGCCCACAGAAGGGTGGGTGATAGTTGTTGGTGTTGTCGAAGGGATGTCTGTAGTCAGAGAAGACGGGGTCATGGTTGTGGAAGTCACTATGGTACCTGAGGTAGGGGGAAGTGAGGAGATGGCAGTTGTGGATGTGCTGACTGTGGAGTAAATGGCTGATGAAGTGAAGCTGGGGGTACTGTGGGAATGTGCTGACTGTGGAGTAAATGGCTGATGAAGTGAAGCTGGGGGTACTGTGGGAGGTGGTATCAGGGGTAGTGGTGGGGAATGTAGTCAACAAAGTGGATAGAGGGGTGGTGTTGGTGTTATGACTGGTGATCATTTCTGTGCTTGGGACAGGTGGAGAAGATAAAATGCTACTGGTGAGTGATGATAACGTATTCGTGGCTGTGGGCCAAGAAGTCGTAGTTGTCATAGAAGTCACTGTATTGGTGGGAGTGATTGAAGAACTGATGGGGGGAGTAGAAGTCATGGCTGTTGTTAGAGATTCTGTAGAAATGTCAGTTGTAGGAGTCAGTGTGGTGGTCTCAGGGAATGTGGCTGTAGAGCTGGGGAAGGTGGTCTGACCTGTGCCTGTAGTTGCTACAGTGGTTGAAGGTGGTTCCATCATTGTGGATGTGGTGAATGAGGTGGTGGTAGTGGGCGATGGGGTGGATTCAGCTGTTGTGTGGAGTGCACTGGTGCTGGCTGGAGGTGACGAGATACTCTCTGTGTGAGTGGTCCGGGCACTGCTGGCAGGCATGGACGACGAAAATGAATATGTCCCTGGGAAGGTCGTCAAGAGGGAACTTGTCGGAGTGCTGTGTGTACTGGCAAAAGTTAGCCTTCCACTGGGAGTGGTGGCAGAGGTCATGCTGACAAAGGATGAGGTTTCTGTATTCTGGACAGTGGGAGATGAGGGAACGACAGTTGTTGGCCTTGCAGACATGCTGGAGACTATGTACACTGAGGTGAGGTCTGTCATCATAGGTAATGAACTAGTGATGCCCACAGATGAGGGAGTGATGGTTGTTGGTTGTGAGGTAGGGATACCTGTACTCAGAGTAGATGGGATCATGGATGTAGAAGTCATCGTGGTACCCAAGGTTGTGGGAACTGAGGTGATGGCAGCTGTGTATGAGCTGTCTGTGGAGTAGATGGTTGAAGAAGTGAAGCTGGAGGTACTATGTGAGGTGATCTTGGCGGTAGTGGTGGTGGTTACCAAGTTTGTGGTAGGAGTTTTGGCTGTTTCTGTGGTTGAGACCAAGGGAGAGGTGGGTGGAATAGAGGTGGCAGTGGATGATGTCTCTGTCATAGTGGTGGGATAGGTGATTTCAGTCGTGGAGTTTGTACCAGGGCCACTCGGAGAATTAGGATAGGTGGTCTCAGATGTAGTCATAGATGAGACATTTGTAGTGGGGAGTGTGGTTACCAAGATAGATGGAGGGATTGTGTTTGTGGTGCCACTGGTGATTGCTTCTGTGCTTGGGACAGGT